TTTTGGCCTCAAAAGCCAAAAGCCCAACCAAAGGGGCTGCTTTTGGTAGGCTGCTTTTTTAGAAGCAACTATTTTTCCGTAGTACATTTTTGAAAGCTGGTTTGACCCTACTTTTGGCTTTTGGCTTTCTGCTTTTCAAAATTGGTGGAATAAAAAACTCTTCCATAGTTTTTTCAAGAGAGATAAAGATAGAAGGTATATTTTATACTTGTTTAACCAAACAGCTTTTAGCTTTTCTATAGCTCACAGCCCACAGCAGCTTTCCCATAGCTCACAGCCCACAGCAGCTTTTTTCCACAGCTACAACTCAACCAAACACACCCTAAGAATGAGTGAATGAGAGATGGACCAGAATTAGACTTGGATGCCCAGAGGGGTGCCCTAGCTGCCCTTATATAGAGTTCGGGGCCATGGCATATACAAATAAGAAGGTTCTCCTGACCGAAGGGTCGTGAGCCTAAGGAAGGTCCTAGCTAACTTGGCTTGCAAGCTATGCCATCTTATGGAGCACGTTTGGGCAAGGTTGTTTTTCATGGTCTTGTGGCCACGTCGTGGCATGGTGTGATGTGGTGCAATTGTGCTGGGCGTGGCGGCACTGTAGACACGGATGGTGGTTCGCCAGCCGTCTTGTGCGACGTGGTCCTTGTCATGGTCTTCATCATTACCTCCTAGTTTCCTAGGGCATCGTACAGGAGTTGGTAGCCGCCCCCGAGTCATCATTCGCCTTGTTGGTTTGAGGAGCTAAGGGCCACGATCCCAATCATTGGGATCATGGTCCCGCTAGGTTGGATGACCCCTAAGTCAAGGCCTTTGTTGTGGACCTCATCCCATGGTGGGTGGAGTCATACATACGTCTTGTTGGGCCGTATTTGGCCGGTGGTTATCGTACCAGTCGTCACCGCCGTGTGTTGTCTTGTCTGTACAGCGTGGCATAGGGATGGCGTCTGACCGGGCCGAGGTGACCGCTATCCTCTCGGTCCTTGCGGAGTCAGAGCAACGTACTTACCTTTGCCAAAGTGGTCGCGTCTGGCTAGTCTTGACCTCTCCCCGTTCCTCCCAGGGGTCGTGACGGTGAAGAGGTCATGAGTCTTCTGTTTGTTATGCGACTGAAATGGAAGGAATGAGTCGTGGCTGATCCTGGCCTTGGCGTCTAGCCTGGTTCGCTTGGCTCAGCTGGGCCTCGGTCGTTCAGGCCTTTGCTAGCTAACATATTGTGGGCAGCGTGGCCCGCCAACTAATCGGTGCCTTGAGACACCCCGGGGTTATAACCCCAACAATGTGTGTGAAACATATACAACATCCAGATAAAACACTTGCAACTTGCAACATAAAAACACTTATTGCAACATAACACTGAAACAACTAAAACATTTTGAACATACTCCCTTGAAACATATGTGTCAAACATATGCAACATCCAAATAAGCACACTTGCAGCACACGTCTTAAAAACAAATAAAACATTTGGAACGAACGCTTGCAACATACGTGTACAACCACTGCCACAACTCGGAGGCGGCCGCACGCTGTGACTGGCAAGGTGAGCGGCCAAGCGGTGCGCCTCAGAGGTGTCTGCGCGCTACGCCTTGAAGGGCCAGCGGTCGTGCGGTCAGAGGCGGCAGGCCAGCGGATAAGAGCGATAGAAAGTGGAATGAGTGGATAGGAATAAGTGGTTGAGCAGTTTTTCATAAACGAAGGAGCTTGGGTTGCTGGGCTGGCGTTGTGGCCCGGCAATGGAGCGTCCCCGCGGACGGACTTCCGGTTCAGAGCATTACTGCAAAAAAGGCACAAGCATGTGAATTGAGCATCTCATGCAGCAGCAACAAATGGAACCATTGCTCATAGACACGCCGCGAGCCACCGTCACCCATCCTTGCGACCGCATAGACACGTCGTTAGCCGTCATCGCCCCTCCGCATGGCCGTGTTGCCACAGCCTAAGCCTCAGTTTCCCCTCCGAGCAGCCGTGTAGATGCGCCGCAAGCCCCCTCGACTGTCCGCGTGCTTGCGTCGCCCCGCCGATTCAAAAATCCGCAAGGTTCACCGCCCCACAAAGGCACAAACCACCGACTGGGGCTTCTCAATTACTAGAGCCGGTATGGAGAAGGCGTGAATGGAGTTTGGGGTGGCGGGAGTGGACGCGAAGAAGTTTGGGGAGGGCGAGAATCAATCAAAAGGATTGGCGCCAACACAGGGGATCACCGGATGCGGAAGAGAATGAAACGATTTGGTCTAAGTGGGGTTTCATCGAGTTTCATTTGTTTTGGTAATTGTGATGGTTGGGTTTCATCCTGATGAAACTCTATTTCTCTTTTTCTTCGTAAATACCCTGCTAACTCATCAAAAAGTTAGCGTGGTATAGCAATAAATGAGAATGAAACTATGTTGAAACCCTTGTTGAGATTGACCTGAGAAGTTATGGATCATGCAAAATTCAAGAACGTTGGTTACCAAAGAATCGGTCTGTGGTTAACCGCAGTACTTGGCCTGATTAGAAACGTGCATATACTACAAGATACCTCACCTATTGCTATGGGGACTAAGAATAATTTGAAATTAAATTAAGTGGAGTGAATAACTTGCAATAAGATGTTGGAACTTAGAGGAAGGCATGACTATTAGGGAGAGAGAATGTGGATAGTCAGTGAGGGATGATGTAAATGGCTTACATGTTAGGAAAGACTTTTAGGGAGAATTAGTTTTATAAGAGATATAGATATAGATATAGATATGTAGAATTTATTAGTAATTTATTTAAATATTTTTGGGTAGAAGATATTAGTAATTTATAGTTATTTGAATTTTTTGCAATCGAATATGGCCTTGTTCGCTTCTATTATAATCCATACTTTTTAACTTATTTTTTTAGTTGGAACTATGTTTTTTCTCTCCAATAAATCAGTCGAAACAGTGTTTCGTTTTTTTCAACAGTAAAGCTATGACCGCGGAAGATTCTGCGCTCTCAGAGTACATCCGTGATATGGGACCGTGCGTCGCCGCGTCGCCTTCATGTTGTGTTGTCAACCAATCAGATCGTCGGGACGCTCAATAGTCACGTGTCATTTGAGAGCTGTCTGATTGACTGATTGCATGCGTTGTGTGCGCCTTACGCAGGAGATGCCGTTACCCTTCAAAAGTCAGATGATGCTCAGTCATTGGCTCATTGCCTCCTTTCTTTTCTTCGTTTTCTTGTCTATTCTCCGGTTGTGCTCTCCCCTCTGCATGTCGCGCAGAATTTTTTAACGGGTAGATTTTATGTTTAAGGGTACGGGTTTGGGATGGCGAGACCCAGCGAGTACAAACCCGTTGCCATATCTATGCACACGGCTGTGTCCGCCCGTCCATCTTCTGGGCAAGCCGAGCGGCGGTGACCAAGCCACCAACGACAGCAAGGGTAAGGTTCATCAGCCTGTTCGTTTGGCTGTGGTTTGTAGTAAATGATTGTAAATTTTCAGCCAAAATAGTATTTTTCTCTCACACAAACCAGCCAGCATTACTTCTTCACGAAACAGCAACGAAACGAACCAGACAACCGAACAGGCTCCATCAATTTAGTTTTGGGTTCTTGGTTATCTTGTCTATTCTCGATCCTCGATTCATCTAATTTAGTAATTTGGTACGTTTATTATGTTTTATTTATACAATAGAAAGATTTTTTTTCTCCCTCAAGCTTCATCATATCCTCTAAAGATAGCAACAAAAAGATATAATGAATGATTGAAGTTGAATATTCTAGGACCTCATTTTGCATTTCATCCTGGACCTCAAATTTCTAGAGCCCTGCGCCACATCGTTCCCCCTCGCCGTGTGGAGAGACAAATAAGAGATGGACAGGCAGAGAATACAGACAAAGAGAGGTCCATGTGACTGTGTGTGGAAGAGATAAGGGGCAATATGGTCTTTCATCTATTTGTTTTATTTCCACTCTATTTTCATTATAATCTTAAATTTTCTTAAACTATATGAAATAGACATGAGAAAAAGATAAAGAGTAGTAGCTCTTTCATCCTTGTTTTATTTTCGTTTATTTTTAGTATTTTTATATTTTATTTAATCTACTCTTATGTGCTAGTAACACCATTACATAATAAGACTAAAATGACCTACATGGATCAAATTCATGCTCAATTATTACTCCATCTATTCCAAAATGCAGGTTATTATGACTTTTCTAGGTACATATCTTAGCAACTTATCTAGATATATATTATGTCTAAATAAAAATACATACCAAAAGCTATTTGCGTAAAAAATGGTTTGAATAAAATGGAGTATGGTTTATAAATACATCCATGAAACGAAAAGTTTGTTGCTGGTCCAATTGTGGAGGGCTTTGTGAATTTGAATTGATTTATTGACATGAAATTTAGTTGATCTAAGTAAATATTTTATTTAAATTTATGGTTGTTTAGATTTTGTATTAAAGAAGCAATAAAATAACATACGGTGTTCTTTTTCATTCTAGGGTCATGGTTGTATATGCGCATTAAACAGGTTATATTCAGTTAAATAGACAATCTATCATATAAACTGTACCTTTAACTATCTCTGTCTGTGTCTCTGTCTCAGTATCTATCATATATATATATGGCGTGGAGAGATTAATTGACGGCCGCTCAAGCTTGAGCAAAATCCAATGTTTTCTCCGCAGCAGTAGACTGGTCATATCAGAGCAGGAAAAATGTCACCTTACCTGCTCGCCGCCGGCACGCTTATCGTCTTCCTCTGCGTCATCAAGAACCGCAGGAGCAGCAATAAGCTCCCGCCATCCCCGCCGTCGCTACCGCTGATCGGCCACCTTCACCTCATCGGCCGCCTCGCGCGCACCGACACTTGCACGAGCCGCAGCTTCGCTATGGCGGTGGTGGCGGCCTCCTCTACCTGCAACTCGGGCGCAGGCGGACCTTTGTCGTGTCCACTGCCGCGGCGGCAGCGGACCTGTTTAGGAACCACGACCTCGCCTTCGCCTCCCGCCCGCACAGCTTGTCAGGCGACAAGCTGATGTATGGCTGCAACAACGTGTCGTTTGCGCCATATGGCGGGAACTGGCGCCGAGGCAAGAAGATCGCCACGGTCCACCTCCTCTCCCAGCGCCTCGTAGAGTCGTTCGCGCCCGTGCGGGCCGCCGAGGTGGCAACGCTCGTCGCACGTACCCGCCGTTCCGCGGAGGCGGGGTTGGCCGCGGAGCTGAGGGAGCTCCTGTACGGCTACACCAACGCGGTGATCACACGCGTGGCCACCGGTGCCGCTGGGGCAACAGCAGAGAGGCTGAAACAGCTGCTGGGGAGCTCCGCGGCGCTAATGGTGGGCTTCCAACCAGAGGACGTGCTGTCGGATGACGACATGGCCGAGGCGTGGGATAAATTCATGCCCGAGTTAGTGGCCGCGCACAAGGAGAAGGGGGGTGACGGTGCAAAGGAGGATGAGGACTTCTTGGACGTCTTGCTTCGGCTGAGGGAAGAAGGTACCGACGGGCTCCAGTGTTAGCCCACAGGATCACCGGCTCAGGTGAGTCGACCACTCACCAGTCTTGCCGACCACGGCTGAGCACGACAGACGTTGTCCGACCACAGACTATGGTCAGAGGTAGAAGAAGAGAGGGAGAACAAAGCATACACACAGTACAAGCACCAGCGGTGGCCAGAGCTCTGTATGGGAGATGTCAAATCTGAACTCACTTTGTTGAGTTGCAGTGGCAAACTATATATACAACTCTACTCATCTAGTCCTAGTACAGCTGCCCTGCTGCAATAGTGACTAGATAACACAGCAGGACTGACCTCTGCGCCTGTCCCTGCCGTGGCTATAGAGAGGCAGGTGAGCCATTCGGCGCCTGCCCCTGCCCCTACCCCTGCAGCGGTTACAGTACCACAGCATGGAGCCTTTTCGGCGTCGCCTTCCCTTGCTGTGTGTTCACGCAAGGAAGCAGTAGATTATCTAACAATTCTTCCCCTAATCCTACTGCTATCCCTTGTATCCCCTCCATGCCGATCATCTCCTTCAGCTCCGTGAGTCGAAGATGTCCGAGAGGCTTGGTGAGGACGTCCGCAAGTTGTCGACCAGTTTCGACGAACTCGATGACGATCTGCCCTTCATCGACACAGTCCCTGAGAAAGTGGAACTTCACGTCGATGTGTTTGCTCCAGTCGTGGAGAACCGGATTCTTCGCAAGGGCGATGGTGGGCTGGTTGTCCACCATCAATGATGGTGAGTGAGCTTCCACACTAGTCAGCTCGCCCAGTAGCCAGCGCAGCCACACAACTTGGCACGCCGCTGTGGTCGCCGCTATATACTCTGCCTCGCACGTAGACAGCGCCACCACCTTTTGTTTCAGTGACAGCCATGAAATTGGAGCCGACCCGAGGAAGATGAGCACGCTAGAGGTGCTCCATCGTTCGTCGATGTCCCCCGCCATGTCTGCATCACTGAACACGGTGAGTTGCAGCCTACTCCCGCTGGTCTTGGGGAAGATGATCCCCTGATCCACCGTTCCCTTGACGTAGCGTAGTAGCCAATTTATCATAGCCTAGTGATCCTCTCTGGGATCCTCCATGAAGCGACTGACGTAGCCCACGACGAACGCAATGTCCGGCCTCATGTGGACTAGGTAGCGCAGACCACCGACGATGCTCTGGTAGAGTGTTGCATCTACCTTCGCCGCGGTGCTGGCCTTCGTCAGCTTCAGCTGCTCCTCCATCGGAGTCACGCATGGCTTGCACTCAGCCATGCCGCTCCGCTCTAATAGCTTCGAGGCATACGCGCTCTAACCGAGCGTGAGTTCCTCCTTCCCCTGTCTCACCTTGATGCCGAGGTAGTAGGAGAGTGCTCCGAGATCGCTCATTCAAAAATGAGCCATCATCTCGCGCTTGAAGCTATCGATGTCCTTCGTACACGCGCTGGTGATGATCAAGTCATCCACATACACGCCGACGATGAGCTCTTCCTTCCCCCGTCACCGCGTGTAGAGCGCGTGCTCGGTTGCGCACCTCGTAAACCCAAGCTCGGCCAGCGTGGCATCAAGCTTGGCGTTCCACGCTCGTGGGGCCTACCGCAGCCCATAGAGCGCCTTGTGCAGTCAGAGCACCCTATGCTTCGCTCCCTTGAAGGCGAAACCTGGAGGTTGCCTGACGAAGACCGTCTCTGCCAGCTCGCCGTTGAGGAAGGCCGATTTAACGTCCAAGTGATGGACGCGCCAGTCCTTTGCTGCTACCAAGGCTAGTAGCAAACGGACAGACTCCATGCACGCTACTGGCACAAAGACTGCCTCGAAGTCGACGCCCTCGCGCTGGACAAAGCCTTGGGCAACGAGGCGCGCCGACAATGGCGCCGAGCTCGTCTCGCTTGGCCTTCTACACCCACTTCAGGCTGATCGGACGACATCCTAGAGGTGGATCGATGAGCTCCCATGTCTCGGTTTCCTCGATCACCTTCATCTCCTCCAGCATGGCCCGTCGCTAGTTTCCATCGTGCTCCGCCAGCGCGAACGTGGGTGGTTCCTCTGCACTAACGAGCAGCAGCTCTTGGTTATTGAGCAGTTGACCAGCCAAGCCTGAGGGCCCTATGCCGCCGCCGATATCATCCAGCCTATGGAACCGCACCTCCTCACCTTCATGGAAGGCATCCACGAACTTAGTGATGTCACTTGGAGGTGAGGCGAACTCGATCGGCATCGATGGAGTTCCATGTTCTACCGGAGTGCTCGGCACCCTAGTTGCAGTGCTCGGCACTACTCTTAGACAGCTCGTCATAACTCTTGCAGTGCTTGGCACCACTGTAGGAGTGCTGAGCCTCAGTCTTGGAGTGGTCGGCACCACTGCAAGACCTCTTGGCTCTGCTACGGGAGTGCTCGGCACCCGTCCTGGAGTGGTCGCCACCACTAGCAGAACCTCCCGGCACCACTCCTGGTGTGCTCGGCATCCCTCCAGGAGTGCTCGGCAGTCCTCCTGGAGTGCTCGGCATCCCTCCCAAAGTGCTCGACACCCCACAGGAGTGCTCGGCTCTGTTGCTGGAGTGCTTGGCACCCCTCCCGGAGTGCTCGGCACCTCTTTCCCGGCGTCTCCACCACCGTGGATGACCAAGTGCTCGACGACGAAGGTGCTGGTGAAGCCGCCACTTCCCCAAGTCTCGGACTGTTTTAGTCCCAAGCCGCCTTCTCGTCGAACACGATGTTGCGCGAGACAAGTACATTGTCTCCATGTGGGTCGTAGAGCCAGTACGCCTTGGTACCCTCTCGCGTAGCCTAGGAACACCATCGGTGTGCCCCTGTCCTCCAGCTTGGTGAGGACTGGCTTCGTCTTCCTGACGTGGCCGATGCAGCCGAATGTCCGGAGGAAGGACACGCTCGTCTTGCGTCCATGCTAAGCCTCGAACGGCGTCTTGCCCTTTAGGGCCTTGGTGGGAGCACGGTTGAGGATGAACACCGCCGTGGTCACCGCCTCCACCCAGAACCTTGTCGGCATGCCTTTGGCCTTCATCATAGATCGGGCCATGGCGACCACCATCTGGTTCCGTCGCTCCACCATGCCATTCTATTGTGGCGAGTACGGCGCGGTGTGGTGTCGCACCACACCCTGATCCACGCAGTACGTAGCGAACTCCACCGAAGTGAATTCGCCGCCGCGATCAGTCCTCAACATGCGGAGCTTCTTGCCGCTCTCGGCCTCCGCTGCTTCGTCCTTGCTCGTCAGGAGTTACAGCCACATGTAGCGACTGCAATCGTCCACGAGCAGGAGGAAGTACCACCGACCACCATTTGTGGCTGGTGTGATCGGCCCGTAGAGGTCGTCGTGGACGAGCTCGAGAGCGTCCTCCGCGCGATACTTGGCCGCCTTTGGGAATGGTAGCCTCCTCTGCTTTTCGGCCAGGCAGCTGTCACACATCTCGCCTCCATGCTCGATGTGGGGTAGCCCTCGGACCATCTTCTCCAGCCGACCAAGCGTGTCGAAGCTGAGATGTTCGAACCGAGCATGCCACAGCCATGGTTCCTCGGTGTGCCTTGCCGCTAGGCATACCGGCTGCTCTACCTTCAGGTCGAGCAGGTACAATCGGTTTTAGGACCTCTTCACCTTGGCGAGAAGTCGTTGCTCCCGGTCTCTGATCCTGAGGACTCCGTCCTTGATCAGTAGCTCGCTACCGCGCTCATCCAGCTGACCAATGCTGATAATGCTTGAACGCAGCTGTGGGATGTAATATACATCCATTAGCGCGCGGTGCTCCCCGTTCTTGCACCTGAAGATGATGGTGTCGTGTCCTTGGATTGCCACCCTTGAGCCATCACCAAACTTCACCATACCGGTAACATCGTCGTCGAGCTCGAAGAAGGCTGCCTTGGAGCCCATCATGTGGTTGCTGGCGCTAGAGTCCATGTACCACCGCAGCTCCTAGTCGGCGCCCACACGTCCGAGGTGGACTTGGGCGTGCGGTTCGTCGAGGTTGACAGCCTTCAGGGCCTTCCCAAATCCTTCCACCGTCGTCACCTCTTCCTTCTCCTCAGCCTCGACGTCGTGTAGTGCACAGAACGTCGTCATCAGGATAGTGGCCTCATCATCATCATCAGCTTGCACCAGATGAGCCTTAGCCTTTTTCTCCTGCTTACGATTTGGGCACTCCCGTGGTTAATGGCCCGTCTTTCCGCAGCGCCGACAGGCGTTGGGGTCGACATGCTTCTTCTTTTCCAAAGAAGCCTTGCCGCGGCGCTTGCCATTGCCACCACGGCTGGAGGAGGATGCCCCGGAGTTCCTCCGAGCAGCCCACTCCTCCTCTATCAGCAGCAGTTTGCCGTTGTCCTTTGTTGCTGTCGCCTGCTCCAAGCGCTCGTCCACCGCCCACAAATGGCCTGTCACATCCTCTATGGTGAGGGTGGACAAGTCCAGCATCGTCTCTATGGAGAGAGCGATCTGAATGTATTTTGCTGGCACGGAGTGGAGGTACTTGGAGACCGCCTCCTCTTTGTCGATGGTGACACCGTGGCTCTTCAGCTTGCTGATGAGCGTCTGTAGGCGGAGGAAGAAATCTTCCACCGTTTCACCATCCTTGAACTTGAGGTTAGCGTACTCCTGCTTCAGAAGCTGGGCCGTCGCCTTCTTTGCACGGTCGGAACCGACGCGCATCGCCGCAATAGCCTCCCACGCCTTCTTAGCAGAGCTCTTCGCCCCCAACGGCTCCCTATAGTCCGCCGGTACAGCAGCGAGGATAGCCTCCAACGCTGACATGTCATCTTTCTCATTTTTGGTGCCCTTGTCAATAACATTCTAGAGCCGTCGGGTTCTGAGCTTGACCTTCATGGTCACCGACCACTCTCCATAGTTGGTGCGAGTCAGCGTCGGGCAACTGGTGCCGCTGACCTCCCGCATCGTGCGAACAACGACATCCTGTCGTGGCTGGGCAGCCACAGCAGTGCCACTGTTGTCGCCCATCTCAGAACCGTACGTCATCGCCAGCGGTTAGTCCAGCGACGGCGCTTGTACGGCTCTGATACCACTTGTGAGCCCACGGAATCACCGGCTCAGGTGAGTCGACCACTCACCAGTCTTACCGACCACGGCCGAGCACGATAGACGTTGTCCGACCACACACTATGGTCAGAGATAGAAGAAGAGAGGGAGAACAGAGCATACACACCGTACAAACACCAGCGTTGTCCGGAGCTCTGTATGGGAAGATGACAAATCTGAATTCTCTTTGTTGAGTTGCAGTGATAAACTATATATACAGCTCTACTCATCTAGTCTAGTACAGCTGCCCTGCTACAACAGTGACTAGATAACACAGCAGGACTGACCTCTGCGTCTGTCCCTACCGTGGCTATAGAGAGGCAGGTGAACTCTTCGACATCTGCCCCTGCAGCGACTATAATACCACATCATGAAGCTTTTTCAGCGTCGTCTTCTCGTGTGTTCACGGTAGATTATCTCAACATCCAGCTCACAGACGATCGCATCAAAGCTATCACCAAGGTTAGTTTTATTTTCAAGAAAAAATTATTAGCAATGTTAATTGGTCCTCTCATCCGTGACCGTGCTCGATTCTTGCGTCTGCAGGACATGATAGCCGCCGCAACTGAAACATCAACTCAAACGCTGGAATGGACCATGGCTGAACTCATCGCCAACCCGCGGGTGATGAGCAAGCTCCAGGACGAGATAGCGCGAGTCGTCAGCGCCGATCAGACGACCAATGCTGAACCAGATCTGAACAAAATGGAGTACCTCAAAGCAGTGTTCAAAGAGGTGCTTCGGCTCCACCCGCCAGTGCCGCTCCTCGTCCCGCACGAATCAACAACGCCAGCGGTCGTGCAGGCTACGAGATCCCGGCCAAGACGGCGCTCTTCGTCAACGTGTGGGCCATCGGGCGGGACCCCGCTGCGTGGGACACACCGGACGAGTTCCGCCCGGAGCGATTCATGGGCGGCAGTCCCCCGGTGGACTTCAGAGGGACCGACTACCAGTTCATCCCGTTCGGCGCCGGCCGGAGGATCTGCCCCGGCATCAACTTCGCGCTGCCGGTCTTGGAGCTCGCGCTCGTCAGCCTCCTGCGTCACTTCGAATGGGAGCTCCCCGACGGCATGCGCCCGGCGGACCTCGACATGGGTGAGGCGCCGGGGCTGACGACGCCGCGGCAGGTTCCCCTTGTCCTAGTCCCCAATTGCAAGACGCTCGTTCAGGCAGTACTGCAGTAGCACAAGGGATTTCATGTGCCGCCATGGTTACCGAGGTTCCATTTCTCTTTCTGTAGAATGCACACCAAGATCCCTGTGTCCTCTTTGAACATCTGAATAATGCTTTGCTTTCGTTTCTGAAAACGGACAGATGAAATGAACTGCGATTCCATGTCGTGAATGAAGTCTGAACAGCAGCGTGCATGCGTGAGTGCTGGTGCGCATCATTGTTCAGAAGAAACCTCAAACTTTTTTACCAACAAATGAAGCTGCTGCAGAGTTAGCAATGCAAAAGTAAACCAGAATAGGACTGGAGAGCAATGAACTCAAACCTCCAGAAAACCATATACGGATTAATCAAAATTAAACATGAGCCACGGTCAAGGATAATCGCATAACATGTTCAGAGGAAAACCATAGGGGGGGGGGAGGGGTGGTCCCAAAGGAAGTATATATTAGTCTAGAAGCAGGAACTGGTGACAAGCTTCACGGTACCGCCTACTGATGCATACATAAACCACAATACAGCTCCATCTGTCCATCAGTAACTAAACCTAGTAAAAAGAATTGCTTGAAGTTCCCCACAAAAGTGTCACACGATATCTTGAACCCTGCATCAAAGAGGCAACTAAATGAGCCACTGCCAGCAGCACAGATCATACAGGGTACACGAGGAAAGCAGCATACACAGAAGATTAGCAAGGAGACCTTTTTTCTAGTCGAAGTACTCATCATCGGGTGACTCCACGTTCCTGGTGCCTGTAAAGACGCAAGTAAATCAGTGTACAAAAAAGAGATCAGATGAAAACAAGGAGACGCAAGAGCACAGGTCGTACCAGCTGGTGTGAGCCAATCTTGAGTACAAACAAGCATTTCAATGTGGCTCTCACCAGCCAACTCACACATTGCGAGTCCTGCAGTTCTTGTCGCTACCCTGCTGTCAGTACTGCACGGTAGTGCCAGTATATCGCGTGCCATCTGAGAAATTGTAGGGTAGATCAGGCTATGTTCCTTCCACCACTGGAGAACACTGGGCTTGCATGAAGCAGGATGACCTGGACGAGTCTCTTGCAGGTACTGGCCAAGCTCAGTCATCGGTCGGTCACAACATCGATGCTCAGAGTCATGATAATAGTAATACGGCTTAGAGTCATGATAATACTTAGACAGGGTATCTGCATCCTCAACAATTCCCTTGCCAGTTTTTGACCCGGTAGTGCAGTTAGGATCATCCACCTGATCTGCGTATTCATTGAAGAGGTTGACAAATGTATCACGCGCTTCATGCATATAGTCATGTTTTCCATTCTCTTTAACAAAAAGCTTGATGCATTTCAGACTGTATTTAGGATCCATTACCATAGGCATACAGAAATGTAAGAAACAGAATTTCCAGCATTCCTTGAACTTCTGTTTTATCTTCTCCACCACTTTGAAAATTGCTTTATCAGTCCTATATCGACTGCTGGAATGAGCCTTACTATACACATTTTTCAAAGTGTCAAAGAGATCAGATGGACTAGGAAAGTTTGGCATCCAGTTAATATATTCATGAAAATGTTCCAAAATCTCAGAAATCTCACTTGCTGTACTCCAGTCCTCTGGTGATGCTGCATATCTGATGTTGGGATACTGCACTGCTGAACAGTTGGAAGCCTTTGCATACTTGGGGCACTTCGCTGATTTCTCCATGATTTTGTTAAGTTCATCCAGTGCCACATGGATAACCTGATCAAGTAAATGAGTTGCAGAGCGTACTACAAACAAGTTCCGGTTTGCGTTGACTTTGTTCCATTTCTGCAGACTGGTTTTGATATTTGAAGCCACTGAATCATCAATGAAAACATCATCCACTATAATGCTGAAAACCTTGTTATGAAGATCCCATTCTCTAATAGCTCCCACTATGATATCACTGTATTGTTTTGCATCGCAAGAGGGGTCCATGGGAGAAAATGTGATGATCTTTTGCTGCTTCTCCCATTCATCATCGATGTAGTGAACAGTCAAGCACAAGAAGGCCAAGTGTGGATCGTAATGCCACATATAAGCACTCAAGGAAACCCGACTGCGTAAAGCAGCTAACTTCTCCTTTAGCTTGGACTTTTCTTGCTGAAACAAGTCACAGATGTTCCCTATGAAGTCAGAGTGAGATGGCATATTGACCATAGGATTCAAGCAAGTAGCTACCTTTCTGAATCCATCTTGCTCCATCATCCTTGGTAGGTGCCCGTGTATGGCCAATATCCTGATAAGTTCTTCAGGAGAATAGTTCTGATCGACCTTCTGGTTCTTCTGACTGCAATCATTAGGAAAGTCCTGCTCAGGCAATGCAATTTCCCCACGAGACTGGTTCTTATGCTGGTCAGTGGAAAGCTCAGGTGCTGCAAGTACTTCATGAGAGCCATTCTGATCAACTTCCTGATTTTTGTTATTCTTGTTGGTGTTTGCGTCAGAGAAGGCAAGTTCCTGCACAGGGACTGCGTCTGCTGCACCTGTGCATTTGTTTTGGCGGGATAGCAGGAATGGCAGCTTCTTCTGGTTTGGGTCAGAGCTGTCGGCTGGTGTGCTCTTCTTTGTAGATGGCAAGGGTCTACCCACCTGCTGCTTTAGCCTCTTCTGAGTCCTAGGGCTGCACTTGGCCTGGTGATTGCGCAGTCCGGTTGTGCCATTGGTGCTGTTGTAGTTGAAGACACGGTGGCAGTGCATGCATTCAGCCTGCACAACCTTTCTATCAACGAAGGTGGGTATGAAGTCTTCCCAGACCTTTGACCGGAGCCTTTTACTCGGCCTTGTCCCAGAGAACAGTGGGCTGGGGATGCTGCCAGTGCTCTCTTCTCCTTCACCTATGTCATTGTTGGCACAGTCCACCACGTCTTCCACGCCTGGGCACCAAGAGACACAAGTTGTGAATATGGACAAACATGAGAATATTTCATGTCTACATTGTCCAAGTGCAATTACGAAAGCTTTTTAAGTTAACTGAACAGAGTCTTTTAATACAGATCTCAGTTCCATAGCCTGAAAGAAACTTGTTCCATATTCAGGCGCCTGAATTTTCAGGCGATCTCACACAAACAACTAGTACAATTAAAAGGACAATTCATAATTTTCTTTTCTTCCTAAACAATGACAAAATTACCTATTGCCTGAACAATAACAAAAAAATCAGACACTGTAGGAGAAGTGCTGAAAGAAACGTGTTCTATAGCCTGAACAGAGAGAGAGAGAGAGAGAGAGATAAAGAGAGATGTAGTTCTGTACCATTGTCTTCTTCACCGATGTAGTTGGGGGAAACATCACAATCTTGACCCATACCTACAAAAAGATAAGGCTAAATCATCCACTCTGGTTCGCACATCTGATTTCCGAAATAAGCGATCAAACGAATCAACCAACAACAACAAAAAATGTACCGCGACGAACGATTGCACGAGTAGCAGTGCATATACCAGAAACCATCAAGAACTTGGCAAAGGACACACCAACCTTTACAATCCCACGGGACGAGAGAAGGATCACTGGATCTAGGTTATCGGAATCAGGGGAGATAGAGAGGAGAGAGGGGAGCAGGGCATTCGTAACTGACCCGGAAGAGACGAGGTCGCAGCCGCTGCACTGCAATGTAGCACTACCAGGAAATCCGCCGACGTCAGGGGAAATCGGTACTCTGGGGTAGTGGAGGGAAGTGGAAAGCATTTTCCCGCCGCTTTTCCCCGCCTCAGCCCCTGGATCGGTGCGCCAACTCGCAGGGCTGGATAGCGGATAGCATGGTCCACGGCCCACTCCGGCGAGACTCTCACATGATGTGCTGGAAAGTGGATAGCACAGCCCAGGGCCCGTTCGCTATGTCCTTTTCCATTTTAGTCGCTATTCATGGCCCAAAAAAATCGTTTACCTAAATGAACTGACGGTTCATAGAGTTCTTCAGATGCGACATTTAGAATCGGTAATATTCATAAATAGTGTTATATATACTATTGAATTAATTAGGAAAGTTCAAGTATTGCAAACTGTTTCATCAAAATAGCTTTTTAACAAACAGCAAGAAAGCTGCCTAAACATCAGAAATATGCAAAAATGACTACCATAAGTACCATTGGTCAGAAACAGTCTGAACTTTCTGTGCGAATACATCAAACCGGTGCAGAAGCCAGAAGGGCTGCAGGGGTTACCATCTAATTAGACCAAACAAGCATCGAAGAGAAAACTCAAAGCTCTAAAAGAACCATACAGCCATACAGGTAACAACTAGCAAGTGAGCATAAGATATTAAGACATCAGAATATACTGGAGTACTACTTATCAAGTAAAAGCATTTAAGCAGAGAGAGTGCCCATAGGACAAGTATCTGAAACTAGAGGTAGAAACTGTTGACAATCTCCTCTACTCACACACGCAAAAGATTCATTACAACTCCATCAGTAACTTAATCTAGTATCCAGAAATTGGCGCTAACACCATCTGAAGTGCCTCGCAGCTCGCAGCTTTCCATCTTCGAATCCTGCATCGTCAAGGTAACTAAATCAGCCGTTGCTAGTCACATCAATTACAGGGAGGTACATTAGAAAAGCGAGGCTTACATGGAATATTAGATTCAGGAATGGTAAAATATTCAGTTTTGAAGATTAACGGTTGAGTCCACCCTTGTAGTACCTATAAAGACATGCAGGTTTCAGTTATTAAAGACTGATTACATATAATAAGATACAAAAAAAAGGGAGCAAGAGCACAGGCTATACCAGCTGGTGCAAGCCAGTCCTGAATACAGACAACTTTCTCAACCCCGCTACCATAAACTGGCTCAGACAAGAATAGTCTCGCAGTTCTTATTGCTGCCTTGCAGTCAGTACAGCATGGTAGTGCCAATATATCACGTGCCATCCGACCAATTGAAGGATAGGTCAGGCTGTTTTCTTTCCACCATTGTAGAACACTGAACTTACCTGTTGGATGTTGTGCCTCTTGCAAGTAATGATCAAGTTCAGTCAATGGTCGCTGACGATACGGATATTCAGTGTGTAGATATAACTCATGCAGAATATCTCTACCAATGAACTTTCCCATCTCAATTTTAGACCAAGAAGTGCAGTCAGGTTCTTGGTCCTGGTTTGAATATTCACCATAGAGGTTAAGCAATGTATCATGCACTTCGCAAATATAATCATCTATGTCACTGTCCACAGTATACATACTCTCTATAGTGAACGGTTGTATGCGTGCCTTGATGTGTTCCAGACGGTATTTAGGATCCATGACCATAGGCATACAAAAATGCAAGAAACAGACTTTCCAGCATTTATTGAACTTCTTTTCCATATTCCACCTCATACTGGAAATTCTCTCCTCCTTCTCACGTAAGTAGATTTCTGTGTGTGTCTTGAACCTATCAATGTCCCAACAATTGCGAAGCACCTTTTCCTTCACATTCCACACCTTATCAAACAGATTATATGGTCTAGGAAATTTGTGGACCAAGACCTTGTATCTATGAAAGTCTTGCAAGTATTTACAAATTTTCTGTGCTTTTGTCCAAGCATCCACTGATGCATATCTATACTTGGGATGATATGCTGATGAAGGGGTGGGATAAATCCTGGAACACTCTGTGGAATTCTCCATGATTGTGTCAAGTTCATCCAGCCCTACCTGAATAATCTCATCAAGTAAATGAGTTGCATAACGTGCCACAAACAAGCTCCGTTTTGCAGCACTTTTGTTCCTTTTCTGAAGACTGGTTTTGACAGTTGAAGCCACTGAATCATCAATGAACGTGTCATCCAGTATAATGCTGAAAACCTTGTCATCAAGACCCCATTCTCCAATAGCTCGCAATATGGTATTACTTAACTCTTCTGCAGAGGGACGCACATCGCAAAATTTGATGATCTTTTTCTGCTTCTTCCATTCATCATCGATATAGTGAACAGTCAAGCACAAGAATAAACGTCGTGGATCGTAGAGCCACGTGTCTGCACTCAAGCAAACTTGACATGGTAAAGCTGCTAACTTCTCCTTCAGCTTGGTCTTTTCTTGCTCAAACAAGTTAAAGGTCTTCCTCATCAGGTCGATGCGGGATGGAATCTTGACCGCAGGATTCAAGTGAGCAACAAGCTTCCAAAAGCCGTCTTGCTCCACCATACTTGTTGCGTGACCGTCCATGGCTAATTTCCTGACGAGTTCTTCATAAGAAATGTTCTGATCAGTCCCTTGATTCTTCTTATTCGGATCAGTGGAAATACCTGGCAGAGCTATACCCATCTGCTTAGGTGCTGCAGGTTCCTCATGAGACCCATTCTGAATAGCCTCCTGATTCTTCCTATTTGTGTCTGTGGGAGTGTCAAGCAAGGCAAGATCCTGCCCGGCCATTGCATCTGTTGTGCCTGAGCCTTTCCTGAGGCTGGATTGCTGGATTGGGAGCTTCTTCTGTTTTGGATCAAAATTGGCTGCTGCTGTGCTCTTCTGGATAGATGGCAGAGATGTATGTTCATGCAGCTTTTGCCTCTTCTGAATTTGAATCCCAGGGCTGCACTTGGCCTGGTGATTCCAAAGGCCAGAGGTGCCGCAACAGTTGAAGATCCGGTGGCAGTGCATGCATTCAGCATGCGCCAGCTTCCCGTCGACAAAGGAGGGTATGAAGTCATCCCACACCTTGGAAGTGAGTCTTTTCTTAGGCTTTGTACCCAAGAACAGTGGACTAGGGATGCTGTCAGTGCTCTTTTCTGGTTCATCTATGGCTTTTTTGGCATTGCCAACTGCATATTCCACACCTAGGCATAAAAAATAAAGTATTTCAATATGAAACAGGTTGATGTAAGTTCTGCTGCAAATCAAACACTGTCCTAATTTAACTTAACATGCATTTTTCCGTATACAATGAGATGGGTTAATTGAACAGAATTTAAGCTGAGAAGTAAACTGAAAAGGCACGGCTGGACATGAAGCAACTTGAGCCCAGATACATTGCTAATCAAACATTGTCCTAGTACAATTGAACAAACTTTCATGCGCGAGGTTAGAACAGAGCGACTTTTTCATACAGGAAAAATCAAACAAATGGATTAATCAACAACTCGGCAGTGTTGTATATGTAAAACACTACTGAACAACCAAGAAAAGAAGTCTAATAACATTTGAGGGATAAACATGAAGTATCATTCACTGTCAGATAAATGCTAGTACATAGCAGCATGTAACGTCTAGCTAAATGAGTCGTCCTTGCCCCTGGATGTTGTTGCTCACCAGTTATTTCCCTCCAAATCAATCGAAAAGGGACTGTGCCCAGGTCGGAAAAGTAAAAAATGAGGACCATCATATTACACATCAACCACCTCGACCAGCCTCAAAAGGAACTTACCATCCACCATCCTCTCGTCTCCGCTGCTGCCGCAGTCGGGATTGGGACTGTCACACTCTTGGGTTAAACCTACACACCAGACAAACCAAATAATCTTATCCATCTGGTTTCTGAGTCGATTTTCCGAGATAATGACCAACCGAATGGACCAGAAACAAAGTATGCAAAGGAAACCAGGTAGCGATGCATTTTGTGCCAAAGATCATCAAGAAATAGTGAGAAGCGCATTACGATCTTAACCTTTTACAGCTCCACGGCGCGCGCGAGAGAGGGAAGGATCAACCGGACGAGATGGGTGTGCAGAGCTGGGGTCCCGGACTCCGTGCGGGCTGGGGAGCTCTCTAAATCGGGGGAGATGGAGCGGGAGACGTGGCAGCGTCCTTGCCTCCGCGGCGGCGCGCGGAAGACACGAGACGCCAGTGGAGGGAATAGGAATGGCCTTTCGCGCTGCTTTTTCACTCCTCCCGCCAAGGCCTTGGAGGCATTTCGTCATGGCCTACTTTTTTTTTCATATAGACCAAGCGGTAACCTGGTCTGAAGCATGAGATTAATCAGCCCAGCCCAGCAGCTTAATGACGGTGCAGCATCCTAAAGCGCGGCCCATGTTACGACCCGTCATAGCTGCACTAGCGGGGGGAAAAACATGCGACTACAAGAGCAAACTATATATGCTTGTTGGCAATAGAGATTCTGGTAAAAAAGTGCACGTCAAAATTTTCTTTAATTGGATATCTAATAGTCATTATCTATTCTGGATTTCTCGCCATCAGCTAAAGATGGAGAGAGAGACTGACTCCCTGGAGCTCTCACAAGATATACAAAAGTTGTCGGAGAGTGGAAGGATATAGAAAACAATTTTTATTCAAACGACTCTATAAATGATTGATGAATAGGACTTCTTATGACTAAGTTCTCAAGCAATCGAACGACCTTAGTCGCGAGGGGGGACGGGGTAAACGACAGTGGCGCACGTTGCTTTAAGGCTAGGTAAAAGATAAGGATAAAGTAAAAGGTAGCTAGGTAAAAGAGTAGGCGTAGCTAGTGAGAGAGGAATAATGAGTAAAAGAGTCCTATGTTACTTCTACTATCAAGCGCAACTAATCTATAAATTATAGCAACTTAGTTAAACCAAGAAATAGAGGGATTCGATAGCACTTCGGGACACAACCCAACCTAATCAAACCAAAGGATTAATTAGAACAGGTATACAATGAGCCTTACGATTTAAGAACTAGACCTGTCGTGGTGGACTATAGAGGATGGACAGGGTTGTCACCACCTGCCACACCTGTTACCACCATAAACTATCCGAAGGCCTAAGCATTATGCTTAATTTATAAGCTGACTACTCCAGTTCGAACTCCGATGAAATGAGACCAGAGCACTATAAAAAAAGCATTGAAATACGTACAAGATATAACCACACTAAACAAGGTAGTTAACTAGGGTACTAAACTTATAACAAAGCTTCAAGTATACTAAACAAGTAAGTAAGCTTGAATGAAGTACTTGAGTAAAGTAGAAGTATATATTCCAAATAAGGAAAGTCTTACAAAGGAGAAAAGATACAAGAGCTATACCAAGCTCCGAAGACTTCTTTGAGACTCTGAGCAGAGCACTACTCTAACTCCATCTCCCACTATAGCCTAATTATTATATAAAAGGTCCTTGTTTGGTTTGGTAATTGAGTGACAATCTAGGTGGACTAATATGTGTTTATGTGAGATACATAGGTGATTAGTCCACAGATACACTAGTGTGAGCAACACATGCCATGGGGGTGGAAATGGCTTGGATTTGTTGCGATGCTCACACATGTGATGAAGGAACTCATTGCACATGAGACATGACATGGAGTCATGTGACTAGGTGGAGAAGATCAAGATGAGACTTAGCTTGATGGACCGGTTGCAAGCGTGAAGGGTGAGTCAGAGGCTTTAAAGCGACAAACCGTGTGGCGGGGAAGCTTGAGTAAAGACTTGGCGCCAATAGATCGAGGCAACGATGAAGAGCAACTGAGGTCAAGATCGATGAACCAATAATGTCACATGATGATATGAAGTGGATCATATCATTTGTTGATTAAGGTTGGTGCATGTGTTGCATCAACATTGGAGGAGATGAAATGGAATGCGCAAAGCAAAAGTATATTTGTAGGGCATTTTATTTCACCGGTCAAAGGTTGTGTAGAGAAGTGCATGACCAGATTTAGGATAGATGGTCGTATTATCAAGGGGGCAAACTTGTTTGCATATCGATCATGTAGTGCCACTCGAGTGATCTAACTTTGCATGCGTTGCTAGGATCGAGTGGCGTGGTAAAAAGAGTGCTAACCCTTGAAAATGCTTTGAAAAATGCTAACACACATGCACATATGTTAGGACATGATGGTGTTAGCACATGGAAAAGGGTGTTGAAGTTGAGCTTGAAAATATGAAAAACAAGCTCAGGACCCTGGTTGGCAGAGCTCGGGACTCTAGCTCAGGACTCAGTCCAGAGCATAAGACTCACCACTGAGCTCGGTCTGGAGGCTTTTCAACTGGGTTTTTGAGTAACAGCTAGTTTGGCCTTGTGGGCTATAAATAGTGGTGGTGCTCGGCCATGCCTGAGGTTGAGCACCTTGGGGATGTGTTGCCTTTGTGTGTGCTTAACTTTAAGCCCTCTAACTCACTTGTGATCGATACGATTCATCTCCGATAGTGAGCGAGCGATTATAGTGCGTTGCATTGAGAGATTGTATCAAGTGACACTAGGTGATCGAGTTGTAAACCGGTGGTGCTTGTTACTCTTGGAGGTTGCCACCTCCTAGATGGCTTGGTGACGTGTCTCCGTCGTAAAGCCCGCAAGAAGATTGTGCAGTGCTCCAGAGAAGTGATTGTAAGGGGTGTTGTGCTCACCCCGCAGGAGCCGCAAAGAGCAACTCTAGTAGAGCAAGACGTGAAGGGTGACAAGTATTCCGGGCGTGTCAAAGTGCTTGAACTTGTGGTAAGCAATCCACGTGGGAGAGTGTGACTTACGGGTCACCACTAACAAAAGGACCGACGACAACCTTGCAGCTTGTCTCACTGGGGATTAAGTGGTTGGCAAACCACCGAACCTCGGGATAAAAATCACCGTGTCATCATTTTCTCGTTGGTTTGCAATCTCCAAACACAAGCTTGTATTTATTCATTCATATAATGTGCTTGTGTTGTTGCTCTAGTGTAGCTAGTTTGCTTTTGTAGCATATTAGTTGCTCTCTTGCGTAACTAGTTGGCTTGAGTAGCCTTGCTAGTTACAATGCTTAGTTGTGTAGCTAAATAATTTGAGCTCTCTAATTTGGCTTGAGTAGTCTTATTATTGAGCATTGCTAGTGAGCTTAGGCTTTGTGCTTTTGCATAGTAGCATGTGTAGGAGCTCCGATCCCCGGTTGCTTGAGTACTAGTTGTATAGGTTTGTGTGACCCTGTTAACTTGAATTGTTTAATTAAGATCTACCTAGTCTGGCACCTTAGTTGCTTAATTAGAATCTTTAATTTGTAAGGTGTTTGAGAACTTAGATACAGGGGTGTAGTTTTGGCTAGACCAAAAGTTTTAATTCCACATTTATTTTGGTTAGCTGGTGCGATTAATTTTTAGAAAGGACTATTCACTCCTCCTCCATTCCGCCATCTCAACCCTACACTATAGAAGTATACTACACTAAGGGTTCATTTGGTTGAGTTGTGGCTTCTGAAAAGTAGCCATGAGCTGTGGGCTCTAGAAAAGATATTGTGGGGTGCAGGCTATGAGAAAGCCGACAACCGTTTGGTTGTGCGGTTGTAGCTTTTGGAAAAACTATTGAGCGAACCCCACGTGTCATCCCCACTCAACTCTCCCCCCTTCACTGACGCCTCTTCCCTCTTCTTTCGTCCAGTCCATGCATGGGGAGGAGGCATCGAGAGCCGTGCCAGGGAGGAGCCGCCGACCTGGGTGCACTAGCCTATGGCCATCGACCCTACAGCCGTGGGAGGGTTGGATCGAGGTATTCGGTCTTGGAGGAGGGGCCGCGGCCAGCGATGGAGTGCTGCGGCTAGGGAGGAAGAGGATGACCGGGAATCGGTTCTCGTGCTTGGATGCAACCGGAGATGGATGCACAATCAATAAGAGGATGCACAGTCAGTAACCAACCATCTAGATGGTTTGTTGCAAACAATGGTGATTTGGATCTCGTGTAGCCTGATTAGCAAGTTTGGGATATGGATTTGTAGTTTAAAAGTTAGGGACCTATATGGTGCCACCATGCAAGTTCAGGTATCTCGCGTGGCTCGTTTAGCAAGTTTATTTGTGTAGATATATATATATAACTCTAGATGTTTGGGACCTAAATGGTATTGTCATGCAAGCTTAGATGCTGGACCCAACATGTCAGAGCCACATTAGTGCTGAGTCAACATGTCATGACAGTGTATAGAGCGTGTCTAAACCCATCTAGACTAGAGGCAGAGCCCAAGACAACTTTAGAGACTAAAAAAATAATGAAAGTTTAGGATCTGAATGATGTCGTCTCCTAAGTACAATGACAACATCATGTAAATTTAGGGACCGTCAATATATGGCTCCGATTGCCCTTTTATGCTCCCTTACTTATTACACAGGAGAAACTACTTATTTTATCAATGCAGTCCCGTGTACATTGTACTGGTATAGAATGGTTACACCAAATCGCGTATATATCTGCCTGTAGTAGAGAAATAAATCTGTATTATTTCTATCACTCTAGACGATCACGCTCGAGTCACTTGTTCGGCGACGGCTTTCTCCCAGACGGCGTAGTCGTTGCCGTGGGCGGCAACCTCAAAACCCGCCGGGATGAGGTGGCCGACGTCGTACCTGGACCCAATCTTCACGATCACCTTGCCGCTGATCTCCGCCACGTAGGAGTCGCCGTCGTGCTCTAGGATGGTGAGCTCGCTCGTCGGCGTGATGCCATTGCGCTTCCGCACCGCCACCAGGGCGGCGATTTCGTCCTTGAACCCCCAGTCGAAGAAATGGTCATAGAACTGCAAGAGGCAGCAACATATCAGTATGAGATGCCTGCCGTGCCGTGTTGATGTCCAATGCGAATAGTATAGGTAGACGACGACTCACAATGCATGGGTTGCCGGGGTGCGTGAGGATGTAGGCGTATCCCTGCATGACCTTGTCGGAGGGGAACGGCCACATGGCCTGCGTGGAGCCGGTGTCGTGGTTGTCGACGAAGGTGACGGCCTTGGCCGGCCACCAGCCGATGACTCCCGGCGCCTTCCCCTGCGGGTCGATGAGCCGCCACAGCTCGCCTTCCACGGCGGCGTTGAGGATGCCCTTGGTGGTGAAGTCGAACACCGTGGCCGGCGACGCCGCCCCGCCCACCTTGTCCACCCAGTCCACCAGCGCCTGCCGGTGCGGGTCCTGATCATACTCCGGCTTGTTGTTCCCGTCGTACGCCATGTTGTTCCATATCTCGGCGACGGCGAAGCTCGGCGCCGTGCCGTCG